AAACAAATCAACAACCTGAATAAGGAATATAATTAGAATGACGTCACGCTCATCACAACGCTGCTATTACAAACTTTAAAGCCAACAGTGTTTATGTTTAGTCGGATATAACTAATTCATCACTTTAGTTCAGTAGAATAATTCTCAGTTATGTGCACAGAGACAGATTAAGAATTTAGAAGTCTATTCATAATTACAATAAAAAGTCTAAAATTTGAAATATTGCTTAATACCTCTACTATAGGAATATATGCATAAAGGCATTTACAATAATTATAAAATGACCCCTATCCATTACATCAATCATTTTATAAAAAATTAGGGCGGTGAACACAACTTTTTTAAGGTCAATATCCTTGTATTGCCAGGGAATACAATTTACTGCAATTAAGCTTTGACAGTGATGTTATTACCCCATTAAACTGTGAGATATATGTATATGAATAACGAAGTTGTGGGCACGCCCCCGCCGCTGAAACCTATTATCGGGTAAGAGCAATGATACCCGTTACTATCAAACTCTTCTCAATTGCTTAAATTAAACTAATATGACACAAATTTCAAGAATATTTTCCGGATTTCAGAAAAAAAAAATCAACCGGAAATCAACAGAAACCGGAAGAGGATTAGTACGATACTGGTTATTATGAAATAAATCACATTACTTTAAGTTATTATCGTTGTATTCCATGTACGTGAACTATCATGAAATGCTATCACGATTATTTCGATTCTATTTAATGTCTCTCTTGGACACTATTTTAAACCACTCGGTAATCGCAGACCATATCACATGCTGAAAACTTTTTTTTTTGTTTACTACAGCTACTAATAAGGATCTCGTTCGTATTCATCAGATATGTAACAGGAGACTAATCCTTTAATACGATTTTTTGCGATAAACTATTGCAGGAAAAAAGTACAATCGAACAAATATGTTGGAAAACAATTTGGAGCATGATGCATGCCCGACACATTTTACTACAGTAACTTCCACTGACGCCAAATAATAATTATTTCTCTAATATTTTAAATGCAGCGATAACACATATCACGAATAGCTTATCAATTTTACCTCTAATGGACTGCTGGCTGCGGAAATTGAGGTGAAACCAACGATATCACTAAAATATATCGTGACGCTTTCAAAAGCTTCAGGTCGTACACTCTGTCCCTTTTTAAGTTGTTCAGCTACAGGCCTGGTAATATAAAAAAATTACCACGATATAATATAACTAGATCTTCTGTTCCAATCACAATGTTTTATTACAAGACCTTGTGTATTTCAAATGCCCAGATTCCGAGCCTGGTCATACTCTCTCGGAATGGCTACTAGAAGTTTAATGCCAAACATGTTTTAGGACGTGTAGATATATATCACCATCGAAGAAACATCAAAGGAATAACCCGATTAAAATCAGCAGTACTACCACAATTGGTGTTGAATTACGGCTGATATAATGAGCGTCATGAATGACAGGTATTCACTGAATCAACATAGACACTCGATGGCAGTCATTTGATTTCAGACTATATCAATTACAGAATGTGAATGTGAAGAATATAATAAGTTGGTCATTCACAAATTCTATAAAACAAAATGAAAACATATCCCGAAAAGTAATTCCATGAACATTCGCGAATAACGATTTTATGGATTCCAATTTAGAAATATATGCACACAGTGCCATTTTCGCAGCAACAACGAACATTGATTGATTGTACTGTTGATGGGATTCGTACTATGCATCCCAATAACACGGAACTTTCGCAAAATGTGTAGATGGTGTTTGTTGGAAGATTTTAAGTCGATAAAAGCTCGAAGAAACTCAATTCTATACAATTCTATACAATTCTACCATCCGTAAAACATCTCAGCCTGCGTTCCTGTCGCTTTAAATCGCGCGCGGATCAGAGTATGATCCTAGACGAGTTCCCAAACTCAGGGTTTACCCAATACTTATACCAACTAAAGCCCGTAATTATAAATAACAGTTTATTCAACCTTGTTTAGTGGAATATTCTCTGAATAGCCTCTGAATATTCGTGCCATAT